GTAGGCTCGTAGGGCACAGTTCTTCTAAAGCGATATATATGTTGCTGAGCATTGTTGGTGGGAAGCTTTTTGGGTCAAACCGGTTGACACCAGTTGCGTGCCGCTTCCAGTGAATGTTCCATTCTCCCTGGGGTGAATCCTTCTTTGGTGTATAAAATATCCCCAGATCTTTCTTTCAGCACATGGTGATCAGAGTTGTTTGGGCCAACTTCTAACCCGCTGCAACTCGTCATCCTGTAGCTCGCCATACCCAGACCATCCATGTCTGGAATAGTTACATACACTAACCGCATGTATGACCCCTCCATCTAAGTAACTTCTCCATACATGGATGGTCTGACATAGCTGATAGCACCACAGCTCCAACGGCACCAGCTCTCCATGCTGACAGCGCTCCGCTGACAACAGCACCGCTCCGCGGTCGTCCAGTTGATCGAGGTCGACGGTCAGCACTCATCTCTTCTTGAAGGCTCCAGAACTGCACAAGGACCGACTGAAGCGGGAAGCGTTTTTCCTGAGTTATGTATATTTCTAGAAGTTTCTATAGTATATACTTACAATATTATATAGTGTTTTTGAGGTCGTATCTCAGGATGTATATAGAAGCGAAGCGTTTTTTTCCTATTTAATAAAGCCCATATGATTTCTGACGGTTTTCTGGGTGAGAACCGGGCGCACTGGGCGCATCCGCCGCCGCGGGTTCTTCAAGGAGCGAACCACAAGGTCGCCCGGTGATGTTGTGAACCCAGCTTTTGACGGTGCTCCTTTTTTTCTTTGGTGTGTGAGTCTTTTTGTTGTTGACATGTTTGGATGACCAAATGGGTGGCTAGATGGAGTTCAAAGGCTTCCGGATTTGGGCTTTGGGCTTCTGATATGGAACCCTTCGGATGAGTTAGTTGGTGCAAATGATGGATCCCAACTCTTCTGGTGTTGGGATTCCTGATCCAAAACTGCAGTGCTGCCAAGTTTGGGAAGGTGTGAATACCAAGTTGAAGGCGTAGCTTAATTATTAGATAGAGATGCCTGGGACCAAGCTGGGCCAAGCTGCTGTACATGTTGAAGGAAACATACTTCACATTCACATGTGGCATACCCCAGTGTTTAGGATGTTTTGGGGATTCCACGTGCAGGATCTTTTCACCAGGAGGGACTGCATACACAGGTAGATTGATGGCTTCATGGCTTAATGTCTTGATTTGTCCAGCTGAGGATATATAGATGTATACCAATAGATAGATTGGTGGAGAGATGAGTAGGTAGGAAGCTAGATAGCTGAGATGTATAGGTAGTCTCTGGGAAGTGTAGAGTCTCGAGACATAGCTATACCGTTCTACCTAACCTCGTCCGTAGATAACACCTTGAACCTTTGTAGAGAATCAGAAACATGGTTTCAGTATGGGTAGATACATAGGTACGTATGTCGGTAGTAGGTGGGAAGGTATACCCAGACATTCCGTGGGACAGGAATATATGTCTATATTGACCACCCAAACCTCCCTAACTGATCGGCATAGTATGGCAGTGCCAAACAGGTGGTGTTTGGGATTGATACGTTGCTGGTCTCGAAGCTTCGCACTTGCATCACTTGCTTTCGCATTGCTTTCGCACTTGCTTCGCATTGTTTGAAGCGGTTTTAGGAGCTGGCAAATGCCCTGCGCATTGCCAATGTCTTCCGGCAAGTTGCAGCTCAGGGTGACAGCGGAGCGCCGCTGAAGCGTATGCAGGAGGAGTTCGTGGAGTCGGTGCCTGGGATGGTTTCATCGTGTTGATCTCAAACGGGATTTTGCCCACAAACCTTCCATGGGACTGGAATAACGGTACATACCATTTCTACCCCATGTATGACCCCCCATAGCCTTATGACCCCTCATGCAGGTCACTGTTGTTTAATCCCTTGGTTTTTTCTTCGGGTCCGAGTTTCAGGTCCGAGCTTGAGTGATTAGTGGGTTGTTTGACGAATCCATGAACCTCCGGAAGTCAATAGGCGAGTCAATCACCCTAGGTCATGAGCTCCAGACGACCGATACAACTCTTCACATGGGCGGAAGGAAGATCAACCCAAGACCCGGGGTTCCTTTGTTTTTCTTGGGGAGGGTTGAGATGTTTGGAATATGTATAATATATTTCATAGCCATCCGAAGACCAGTGATCGGAGTGTTTGGGGGGCCATCGCCATGCGGTCGGGCCGCCGAAGGGTTGGGGGTCTATGAGGTTTGCTTCCCTTAGAGATCCTTAGAGGCTGAAGGGTCTAAACACCATCACCTCTCACGCGTCCTGAGAGTGTTTAACATGGGTTCCCAATCAGCCACAATGGTCAAACTGAAGGACAGGTCTCATGCACTTGACATACACTCTTCAGTTGCTCAGGTCAAGGCGGTCATCTCCATGATGCAGAGTGACCTGGCAACATCTCGCCGGTGTCGTGGAAAGCCGCTGGTGTACAGTGGAACATCAGGTTCACAGGGTCTGGAAGAACACAAACGAGTTGTAAACACGGAAAAACATGAGTTTGATTACCGAGCAATAGTCCCAGATGAAGCCTGGCAGAAGATAGGAACATTACTGACAACTAGGAACCCTTTTGGTGACGGAGATTCGCTGCGAAGCCAGACACTCCAAAGCCAGACACGACCCATGGGACTGGCATATACATACATTGGGGTGGTTGAAAAAGGATGAAAACGGGGTGAATGTGTAGGTTATGTATTGTATGAGTAAATATGTCATGGATAATCTGGGAGAACTCCCAGGCATCCACCGACACGGCCGAGTGATGCCTTTGCTGGAGCAGCTTTTAGCACGCCTGGAGTACAACGGCTATTTCGAGACGGAGTCCCTCCTCAGCTAGGCCCCATGTGTGAGTTCTATTGAGTTCTTATTGTTTTAGTCGACGACCATTGGGCATCATTGGGCCATGCTGACACAGGACATCAGGGTTTCCACATACTACTCACACACACACATGTCGTGGACAAGGAAAGAATCGTGAGGGAAGTTCCTCCCTCATTTGGATCTCAACAAATATGCTTTTGTTTCTTGTTTTGAAGCTAATGATGCTCTTCCTAGCGATCCGACAGGCCGAACTCAACTGCGAAGGCTTCTCCCTGGAAGGAGAACTGGGGATTCCGAACTCCCGTGGGTCAAGTGCTGCTGTGAACTGGAGTCTGAAGATTCTGAGCAAAACTTGGGAGAGCCTGGAAGCCAACGTAAGCCACATCGATCATCGTCCCAGCACCGTGCCGCCGTGCCCGTGCCCCGTTGTGTTGGTTTTTTGACTTGTCGGACTTCCCGACTTCACGACCTGTGGATCTCCATTGAACACCCCGACATGAAGGTCCAGATCTGTTCCATGCGTCATCTATTTCTCTTCCTTTTCTACCCTAGACTCTGGGCATCGATAGTCAAATGGTTGATCTTCTTTTGTACCTTCTAAAGGGTTAACTTTGAGGATTCCGGAGGAAAGCCGGAGTCCGTTCGGAGCCGTGAAAAGCAAAGACTTCGTGGTCACATGTGCACTTCAAAGCCAAGCAGTTGAGTAGGGCATGCTGTTGGAAGTGGCAAATTCAGCTGCTTTGTGTTTGGTGTTTTGTGGAAGGCAAAGGAAGTCGATGTTACGCTGCACAAAGCGCACAAGGCAGGACATGTGTTTTGATATGTCTCGATCATTATCGATCAAGTTCAAGAGAGGTCAAGGGAAACAATATCACTGTATTTCAGCCTCGCTGTCAACTGAACGAAAGAAACACAAGCTGATGAATTGCATAGTCAGCACGAAGAATCTCGTTGATCGGCTGGACACCGTCAACCGTCCCACCCCATCCATGTTGCCAGCTATATGTTAATGTTATATAGCTTAGCACATGTGGTTGATGAGTTTTCTCCAATATGTCTTAACTGAGTCTCTTGACCGTTTATACACTGGAATCAGGCACCTGTATATTGTTTAATATTGACCGATTTGTTGCAGTTGAGGGTGAAGCAGTGGCAAAGTAGGCATGCCAGGCATGCCAGGCATACAAGATTATATACCTGCACATGTTTTTCCTTCAGCCTGCCTGTGAGGCTGACGAACGCATGAAGGAGATGGAGATATTGAATGAACATGCCGTGTGACAGCACTTGCAATCAGAACTGCAGCATTTGCAAGCATTTGCAAGCAAGGCAGCTGCAAGAGGACCTGCAGCAGCTGGAAAACCGCGGCAAGTGCAGAAAGTTACTTTCATCATGCAGGGCGTGCTTCTGTACCTTGCGATCATGCTGGCGTTTGCCACGCCATGGCATCCACCAGTCTTTTTGAGCAAACATGTGACACTGTGCCGGCGACATCTGTCGTTTTCAATATGTGACACGATGGGTGCCATGTGTTTCGATCGCGAGACCGACCCCCCACGCTGGACGCTGGAAAACGTGACGTGACCGGCACGACGACTGGGTTCCAGTTGGTTGACATGTCATCCTGTCATGGATGGTTTGGGTGGCTGTATCATGTGAAAGGGTAGCTATTTTTTCGTCTCATGGGATGGTTTGGGTGGTCGTTGGTGATCAAAGGATTTGGAAGCAGCATGGGGTGTTTCTCGATCACTGGGTGATTCTCAGGCACCCGTCAGCTGCGGCTATAAAGGGGCAACTACTTCAAGATCTAAGAATATAAGGTGACCGATAGATCAGGAGAGTCAACTGAAGGGGAGATTCCTGCTAGGGTTTGTTGTGCTGGTGATGTATCATTTCAGGGGTGCTTAAGCACAGCAATAGAAGGGATGGTTTGAAGACCTGGTTTTGTAAGCTTAGATACGCAACAGCGAAAAGCTAGACCTTTTAAGGTTTGTCTATGTTTTGTCTCGTAGTGGCAACCCAATGATAAATAACCAACCAGAGCGGCTCTAGATGCTCTACAAGGTTTTTAGGGGGATAGTTTCCCCTTGGTTGACATTACCCAGACGCTTATATGCCTACATTGGGGTGGTTTGAGTGTCCGTTTTTCATGTTCTTCGTCCTATGAGGTCGGAATCATGATGCTCCCGTGCGTTCAGCACCTGCGGTTCTTCTTTGGCCACTGGGGTCAGCCACTGCCATGTCTTGGTCTTGCACAGAGCAGCTCGGTCTGCCGTGATGCACCCTGTTTCGTTGTTTATACTTGTTTTGTGTGAGTCCTTACAGCAATCGCCAATCGCAGCTTTTACCAAATCCTCACGATGTTGATAGCATGGTTTTGAGGCTCTGAGAGTTTGAGACTTCTTTTGTTCTGGATCAAATGCCGTGGCACTTGGCATTTTCGACTGGTCGCCCATCAAACTCTTCAGATTATGGCAGAAATCTTTGTTTGGAGTCAGAGCTTCTTTTGGATTCCTTCATCATCAACCACTCGCTACTTTGGAATCACAAAGAGTCAGAGTTCTGAACCATCTGGGCGGAGGTGGGCACCCGCCAGGACTCGAGCTGGGCTTGGTCTATGACCTTGTAGCCTTCTTGTTTCTCTCCTCGGTGAAGCTTCTGATCCTCATGCGCCTCACTCCAAAGGTCGGTGGTCAGTCGGCCGAGTTGGGGGGTGGTTGTGGAAGCTCCAAACAGATTGACTCAACAGTCAATCCGAAAAGTGAACCGAGTGACCCCAGGCTGGCACCCCTTGGCACAACTGGGATTTCTCCTCAGACGAAGGACGACACAAGAAGCGAGAACGCCGATTCTCGCGAGAACGCCTGGGAGAAATATCGATCCCAGACCAGACGAATGGGGCTCGAATACATTATTTATCATTATGTAATCCATATTAACCCCTGTTATGATCCTAATTCAGGTACCTATTCCATACTTGGTGGACATAAAGGGTCAGAGGGTTTGATTTTGGCTCCTTTTAGTTTGGACCAGTGGCTTATCAGGTCCGGCCGGGAACGCTTCTATGACGCCTTCCAAGGACCTCTACAAAGGAACAGCGGCGAAACTCTACCAGTTTCGAGACAATGAACCTGTAGAGAAAGAGCCCGTAAATGAGCCCGTTGTATTGTTTAAAGATGTCCTTGGTTTCTTGTGAAGCGATCAAACAATTGAGGTACTTCCTCTTTGAGCAGGCTTACATCATGCACCTAGACTGCACGAAGACTACGTGTGGGAGAAAAGTATGCAAGATTCATGTCCCAAGAATTGGTGTTGGCCTTTGCTGGTGCATCATGTGGTTGGTATTTTGGTTGCACCAAACCATCCTCAGTCTCCTGCAGCAATGCACCAGATTGTTGGTCTTGGCGGATCATGTCATATATAATTCATGGCTCGCATCAGATCTGTCATCTAATACTTGCAGACATATCATAGATGGGCTTGATCACCACAAGCACCTACATGTGTGTTTTTTTCTTTGTGGAACAATCTGTGCGACTTGATACCCCAAAGCACTGTGCAGTGGTTCGCTTTACATGGGTTTGATAGTTGCACAGTCCTGGTGCCATGGTAACTCAACTAATCGCGTTATTGGTTTCTTCTTTGTCTCTGTGTGTGTGTGTTTTTTTATTTTTTAGAATCTCTTTTGGGTACCTCCATCTCCTTCGTTGCAGATATTCCTTGCTTCATGTACCTAATCTCCATATCGCTCGCAGTGTCCGCGGTCTTTTTGTTCTATTGTTTGTGCTTGCACTCGCAAGATCAAACATGTATCATGTACGAACAGAACATATTCTCTTGGGTCTGTCCTGTTACCTCTAACATGCAGTCGGTAAACAATTTGAACAAGGCCCTAACTAACCATCATCATCCACTGGGCCCTGGTCATGGGATAGACCCAAGATGTATCATGTTACGTACAGAACTCCTGGATCGCTCCGTACGTATCGTTTCTGCAGGGTTCATGTGCCCGACCCATGATCCTTCCTTCTCATGTGACCCACTGATCCGAAGCTGAGCTTCACATCCCTGGCAGCCGAAGCGGGGTCCGAACCGGGGTCCGAACCGGGGTCCGGAGGGTTGGAGGGAGAAATCGGGCCCTAACAGGTCGAACGAGAACATGCCGTCCGAACATGCCGTCCCTCAAAGCACTTGAAATGAACATGCAATGAGCTTGCGTTAAAAGAAACCAAAAACACATAAAACACATAAGATGCTTCCAACGAATCACCAATGGACAACCCTACACTGCTTATAGGTCTCCATTGGGCACCCATTGCTAGGTATGAGATGCTTCATTTCTTGCTGCATTTCCCGGACCGATGTCCTCTCTGTCGACCAGTTCCTCTCGGTTCCTCTCGCTTCAGGCGACTAGATGTGAGATTCTTGACCATGGCCGTGGCCGCCGTGGTGGTGGAAAGCGTTTGCGGGCGCGGAGACTGAGACTGGGTGGTGAAACCGGTGTCCTGGGGTGTGGGGAGGAAGAGATCTGGTGATTCAGTGCTAAAAAGTGTAGGAGGTGGGCGGTGTGATGGTGGTGTATAATTCTGTTCAGTCTTGATTAATAAGCCCCCCCAGGGTTGTTCAATCTAAAAGGGGGGGTTATGAGTCAAGAGTCTATACATGACAGACAGTAGATATAGTATAGTGCTGAACAACATGCCCAGGTGGATCACTACCAGCAGATAATGGGGTGCTGACTTGCTGGTGAGAGTTTCAGCCACTGGGTATGACGAGTAGCTTACAACGCATGCGAAAAGGCACCAAGGATTACAACGAGGAATCTATAACAGGGGAGTTGTTTGGATTTCTGCCATGACCCCAGCTAGGTCTATCCTGCCCGGATGGTTCCTGGCACGAGCACCCCGTTTGGCGCGCCCATGTTGCACGCCAGAATCATCAATGTGCTCCAAACCATGAAGCTTGCCACGCTGAACGTCACAGAGACGATCCTCCTTTTGGCGGGGGCGCGTCGGAAGCGTTGCTTCGTTTTGGTCCTCCGTCACCAGCGAACCGGACGTGGTTGAGCGGACCTGGTGTCGGTCGTTCGCTGATGGATGGTGGATGGATGGAGGGCTCCAGGTGGGTCACGACATGTCACGACCCAGCGGTGCTTTTGATTGTGGATGCCACTGCCATCCTCTGAGAGGGTGATGTGTTCGACACTGTTGGGACGGCCAGGAGGGCCCAGTCGTATCTTCTGAGAAGCTATGTTGTTACCTAGGGAGTCATGTCCAGGGACTCGCTATAGGGATGTTGGACTCACAAGGTTCACCGAAACTCACCAGCGCACCAGGGAGTTGAGTGATTTGTACACAACCAGTATTGTCATGTTCACACTTTTTTGAACTGGGATGATTCTGATGATTCGCTTTTCAGCAAAACAAAGGCATCATTAATGTAATTATATAATGGTGCGATAAACCGTTGCCAGGGCTATAGATTAGACTATGTGTCCTTCTTGGCGCCAAGACATGTCGTTGTCGTCCGTGCATTGATTCGGATATGCAAGAGCAAGCCAAGGTGTCCCTTTTAAGAAGTCACAAAGTCTCAAACTAGTCTTTGAGGGTCTTTCAAGAAAAGACACAACATATTATATCATAATATTGCACCTCTCGAGGCATTGTCATCCCGCCAAACCAACAAATCATCTAAATCGCACCATCAATCTTGATCCATGCATAGCCAATCGCACCGAATCTTGTCCGAGTCTTGTCCTGGCTCCGCTGGTCTCCCGGGTCTTCGTCGTGTCTGCTTGCCACGACGCCAGGCTTCCGTGGTCTCGGTGCTCACCGTCGCATCGGCCGCGGGGGCCCGGTACATCCCATCGGCCGTGGAGCGGTCCCGGGACCGGGAGGGAGGGAATATGCGGGGAGGGAAGGAACCACCACAGCGTTGGTTGAAAAACCACGAAGCCGAAGAAGTCACCGAAAACACCACCACCTGTCGACTGGCTTTGGTGTCCTGGCTTTGGCCGTAACTGGGCTTTTCTTGGCCTTTGGAAACTTGGGACAATGTCAAGCCGAAGACTTGTCCAGCCGTGTTCTTTCAGCCCTTTCTGAACCTGATGTTCTTCGAGTGAGACATGGCACCCTCCAGTCCATTCTAGCAAAAACATGCAAAAACTCTGTTCTATATTCCGAGTGTGACCTCAGTTGTCATCACCTGGAGGTCATGGACCACGGTGATGTTATGTCGTTGTTGCAACGCGACGATCTAATCATCCGGCCCCACGTACAGCTGGTGAAGATTGTCACAGGAGTCACAGGAGTCAGATACATACCATAGCCATTGACTGAGAACCCCAGGTGGATCCCTGTAGGGCTTGCATCACATCCTAAGGCATTTTTGGAGACTAACTGATTGCACACTTCTGACTTCTCCAATTCGGCGCGGCCCGTTTTTCTCCCGGCATCCTGACACTGTCGTGCTTTGGCACTCGTCCTCCCGACGCCAACAGCGCTGCTCAGTACTTCGTGGTGGAAGAGCTGCTGCCCAGCGAGGCCGGAAGAGTTGACGTGCCGGTCTATCTGATAGCAGTTGGTTTAGATCCGTTTACGGTTTCATGAGGCAACTATGGCGCCGAAATAGAGCACCCAAGCTTGTTAGATTGCTGACATATGACATATAGAAACTCTGACAAGAGCCTTCATTGTGAACACTGACACCGATGGGAAGAGTGACACGACCTTTGCCTTCACGTTAGTGCAATAGAAGACATACACATGCAAGACAAACTCGCTCAGCTTTGGTATGCAGCAAGCTGATGAACCTTGTTCCGTCAACCCACACTTTACGGAGGGTCTCCTATTTCCCCATCACGTGATGTAATTGATGTAATTACAACTGAACCCATTCCACCCTCATTTCCTGCCGAAGAAGCCAGCAGAAATATCCTGTCTCTTCACGACCATTCAACTATATTCAACTTGAGAGAAGAATCTCGCATGCGGCTGTGCAGTTAGGGAGACCACGAAAAGACCCCCCCTGTGTTCTAGGAACATAGGCCAAAAGCCAATTGGTTGGGGTGGTTTTTCCCTTAACATCCAAAAAAAAAACAAGTACTATCTCCTCAGCACCGTTGTTCTCCAGATCCGGCCCGAGCTGGGCTACCTCTCGACCCTGACGGAGGCGTCGTGACAGACGAACCACGGATGACGGGACGGTGGGTCGGTCTCCGGCTCAACTCCCAGACACTCCATGCCAGATGGCCCTTTATGGGTCCAAATGGCACGCTTGTTGAGGATGATGTGTTCGACACATTGGTGTAGGCGCTATAGGAGGATCCAAATGACCTTCTTTCAGATTTATATAGAAAGGTTTGTGGATCCCCATAGGGGTGGGACTGGGTGATCAAGGGATCAATGGGGGGCGTGTTTGTCTACTTTGGGCGGGCACCAGGACCTCTGCCTGTAGAATGTCCAGGCCAGAGAGTTTCCCACAGAACCTGTTGCAGGAGCAAATCACCCACCAACTACTAAATTGACCCCCCCCCTGAGCAGCACTCTTTTGGAGTGTTTCTGTGGCCTTTTCCTTACGTTCGGAAGTGCTGGGAGTCGCATCGGGGCCTGTCCTAGCCCGAGGAAGTGCCCGTTCGGCGAACGTGCCAGTTACAAAGCCAGCGGCCTTGTCACCAATCAAAAAATAAAGGGTCAACCAAATACAACGAGCCAGCCAGTCAACCAGCCACTCCTCTCCAGATGTCGGCTTCTTCCTGTGTATCGGTTGAACAGGTTCCAGAGCCTCGCCATCATCGCTGAGGGCTGTTTCCGACAAACACTGCCCCAGCTGCTGTGAGCGTTCTTGGCATGGAGGGACACAGAAGAGAGAAACAGCAATACAGGGCTCCTTGTCGATTTTCTTTTACGGACCATTTTTCCTGATACTGTACTGTATGTCTCTAAGTTGTTCGTGCGCGGAACTACTGGTGACCGGTGCCCAGCTAGGGTGGGAACCGGGTCCACTGAGGTAGCTGTGCAAGAAGATATTTAAGAACAAACTGGCCGAAACACATGAAACTCTTATTTGTGCAGAGCGGTAAGTTTACAGCAATGGGCATTTTGCGGTGTTGATACATGTCCTTGAAGCTATGTGTGCAATATGGAAGCCGTTCAACCAGAGCCCTGTCTAATTATCTTTGGGTACATCGCTTTTGTCCTCACATATTGCAATCAGCACTACAGCATGTTTCAATCTTCTTTTGCAACGCTCACATAGGCCGATTGGTGCTGGGTCCCGGCAGCGTTTCACTCAAACCGCCAAAGCTTCGGAGAGATCTGCGCGGTACCTCGCTCCATCCAAGCTCCATCGCTCGGTACTCTCGCCGAGGTTGGCGACTCCGCGAGTCGGTGGTAAATAGGGATCCCGACCCCCATTCGAACTCCCTGGCCAAAAGGGAACTAGGACCAAAACCCACTGGTTGGGGGTCTCTGTTAAAATACACACCCAAATCCACCGACTCAGAGAAAAAAAACAGACTCAGTCCTTCGTTCCATTCTTGGGGGGGAGTTGACCGCTGACCGCTCCGGGTGTGCGTCCGTTCGTGAAGAAAGCGAGGAAAGAGGAGTCCTGGAGGTTGATTTGCGATGGAAAGGTCGGGAAAGAGGCGCAGTGTAGAGTCTAGCGAAGAGCACATCTCATTAGGAGGAGGACAACAGGGTAGGCTGAAGGGCTTCAGATACACTTTCAGCAAGTGTGGCATTTGCAGGGTTGCTTCATGTGGAGGGCCATACATGCCAATAATTATTGTCAGGTTTTCCATGGCTTGCAAACAAGCAACCACAAGGACCACAAGCAACCCTTAATTTACAGAACTTTGAGTGACTTGGAGCTACAAGTTTGACCATGCGTTTGCATTTGATGTGTTTCATCCATTGAAATAACCTGGAAGCGTGTTCATCGTGTGTGTATGCTCAAGAAGGAACGCTTTGACTTCGTTTTTGCTTTTTCATGGAGTGGTATTCCCAGATAGCAGTGGAGATTCATCCAACGGTGGGTTCTTGTTCCATCTTGTTCCCGCCAATCCAAGAAAACAGCTCTTCCCACAAGCTCTTCTTTGGTTTGTTTTATGTTGTTTGTTTTTTGGTACAGTGGTTCCAGAGTAGATGGTGCAATGTCTTTTACATGGGGATCTATACAAACCACCAACTTGTGGATGGTGCCATCTATTCTGAAACCACTTTATAATCCTGAACCTGTTTAAACTCACATGTTACAGACATATATCCGCCAGTGAGATAGCCTGTTGACACCGCCCGGACGATGTCCCGCATGTGCGGGCGGACGATGAATCCTCTTCGGATCCCCGAAAGAATTGTCTTCGGACACTCAACTCGTTGAGTTATTTGCTCTGTTTGGCCCCGTGCACAGCCCGTGTCTTGCAGAGGTTTGTTTTTTGCAGGGTGTCTTGCAGACTATGTGGGATCGTTATTGTTCCAAGAAGACTCTCATACAGTGTATACCACCCAAAACAATGTAGAACATCAACATAGATCCCACTATTCACAGGTGTATTGATATCCCAAGTGGTGGAGTATTTATGATGATTGTATCCTTCAACAGTACGGATGGTATATGGCTTGAGTGGGGCAGAGTGTTTGATGGCTTGATGTGACTCTGCACCGTCGAATCAGGCCCAAACAAAGCAGTGACTGGGCCAAGCAGCAAAACACGCTGTTTTACAAATGGTGTATGATCACAGATGAAGGATTAGGGTTTAGGGTATTGTGCACCAAAGAGAGTGCTTGCACACGCAGGTCGCACCATGTAATACATGTCCAGAGAAATGACTGCTTCAGAAAGCGATGGCCTGTGAATCCGGGGAGATTGCCGTGTGATGGATGGTCACAGCTGTCAACCCCCCCCACGCGGTCGTTCACACAATGCTGGCAAAAGTAAAAGGCAAGCTCACAAGTTGTTGGGACCTGGACCTGGCTAGATACAGAAGAGCCTTCAACAGGTCTATGACCAATTGTTCACCTGGCCTGCTTGATAAACCTGACTGGAGAAGGAAAGAAGCACATTTCTTGAGCGTGGTGGACGAGTGTGATGGAGGTTGGGGGGGCCCAGCCGTGAAGTGGAGGTGCTTTCGGGCTTATGATCCTTCTGGCTGTGGCGAGTCTTTGTTATGCGAACGACATGGCCCTCTGAGAGGCTGATGCGTTCAACACGGAGAGTGCCAGAGGAGCCGACAGAGCTGAAAGAGAAGGTATGTGGATTCCATTTTTTCTTACAGTGGTTTATATGGATCCCCATCCAGACATCTTGGGGGGTTGTGCCATCTACTCTGAAACCACTCTAAACCATCTCCGAAGCCACCAGACAATCTTGATTCTGAGCTCGTTGCTGACGACCTGAGGACTGGAATACTTACATTGACCCCATGAAAAGGACCGATCCATGTACTGTAAGTATGGAATAGTAACCTCAGTTGGGTCCCTTTCATGGGGGTAAATGTAAGTACAGTAACTATCCCTACACCTCCAGTCGTACCTCCTCAGAAGGTATGTAGACCCTCCTGGCACCCGGGCCCCCAGTCCCACCGAACCTCAGGTTCGGTACGACGGTACGGCCGAACGGGTATTCCAGTCCACTGACTCCCCGGGCGGCAGAGCGGTGCCGCCGACGTCCGGTGGTTGAAGCGGTGACCAGGCATCTGCGAGAGGAGCACGGTGTTTTTTCGGTGGAGCTGGACAGGAGCCAAATGAGACAAATAATTACATGAAAAAAACATGTGTTTTTGAGTGTAGGTACCTGGATCCACAAGAGAAATAAGAGAAACACTAATCCAACATGATAAAAGAAACGACAGCTTAGCATGGTTTTCGTGTTGCTGCTGGTGTCCAGCAGTTGTTGTGCCATTGGACTTTGGATGAATTGACACCTCTTGTATTTGATCCTGAACTAACCATTGGACCAATCGATGTCCAGTCCAAGGGCCTTCTTGCATCTCACTGTCCCCTAGACCAGCTGCAGCTGCCGCACTGCTCAGGGCCGTGGTGGGCGGAGCCGCAAAGATGACCTCCGCAGGCGTCCGCGTCTTGATCCACGAAGAACTGATGCGGGTAGACTCTACGGTGGACCTGTTGTTTGAACCCTGGCCGCCATGGAAACCAACAGGGGAACCCTGTGAGAGGTTGAGCCTGTTGGCCTTGTTGGGCCCGTTAGCCTTTTTGGTCCCGTTGGCCTTTTTGGGTCTGTTGGCCTTGTTGGCCTGCTTGAAGTGAAGATCCTTTTCCTTTTGCAGGGAAACACACATGAGATACATGAGCAGCTCGCAGTCCTCCCGCTGTTCTTCTCCTCTCTACAGGCCACGTGCCACCGCCGGCCGTGGACGAAAAGACTACAAGCAGGAGGTGAAGGACAAGGACTATGATAGGCGCGGCAGCAGCGAATGAGGTTCCACAGCCAGATGTAGGTGTTGACTTGCAGGTGCAAGACTCCTGTGATGAATCTGATGGATGTTTCACATGCTATTGAAATCTAGTGCAGTTTAAATTAATGTGTCAGCAGCCGTAATCGAGGCGCGTGGTTCACTGTCAGAACTTTTTGTGATTGTGGGACGAAGATTGTCAGCTCATGTCCAGAATCTGTCCCTATACCTTGGGAGCCATCCTCGGGATGACTTGCCATGACTGACCTGCCATAAATAGAACTTGATCTACTCCAAGGATGTGATAGAACTGTGATAGATTCTGATAGATGCTTGGAGAAGAGCCTCTTAATGTCCTCTCGGAGTGTAGGCCTTCTCATTCGCCACGAGCTTTCCGCCACCCCAGGAATGCGCCCATGTACGACAACCCCTCCTCGGTTCGGGCACCGGTTGTGCGAGACATCCTTGACCTCCGGCGAGTCCGGGTGTGGCGGCGGTTCGGATGGGTTCGTTTCGTTCGGTCGCAGTGACGGATATCCGTCCTTAAGTTGGATCTCTAAGATCATGTAGACTCAATGTAGACTACTTACTGTAGATGTCCAAGTTGAATATCAAAGATGTCCAACATGTTCGACTCTTCATGTTTCATCCATTGGTTCCGGCAGTGCCCCTTGGGTTTTCCCCCTTGTGTTTCATGATTAATCAATATCCATTTGGATTGAACATGCTATTCATATGGGACACGCACGTACGGATTTTGGTCTGTCTCCGTGGCAACTCTGTCCCGTTGTTAATCAAGGGTTGATGATGTGAGAGTTCCTAAGAGCTGGCCGTCGTAACTGTAGCAACACTAGCTGCAGATGGTGCAGCAGAAGGAATCACATCATTGTCGATGACCACTAAATACCACTCGTACCTAGTGGTCAGAACATATAGCTGCCGACGGCTTATTCCCCCAAGCCACTTTCCAAGATCAGGGCGTGTGGCAGTACTTCTACTGGACCTTCTAAGAGGTGTCCAACGGAGAGTATTCGGCATGTACAAGGGCTTCCAGCCTGGTGACCCCGAATGGAAGGTGCTGGTACCTGAAGATACACTCACTCTCCCTGGAACTAACATGGAAGTGGATTTGAGTGGCAAATGGTCTTCCTTTCGGGGCCATTCTCCACTTCCATGTTAGTTCCAGGCAGTGTAAGACATGTCAAGCTCTTCCAACCTACAATAGCTTCCTAGGCTTCCAGTCGTACCTTCTGAGAAGGTGGGACTGGGGTGGGTGCCAAGAGGGTCTAAATACCTTCTGAGGAGGCACTTGGAGGTGTACGGCTTGTTTCCCCCCGACGGATGATCCTCGTGCGTGTTGGCCGGAAACTTCCGCTTCGCTGCGGGCAACTTAGGCCTACGCACCCATGCATGAGCGTCGTCACAGGGAGGCCCGGGCTTTGCGTGG